TTCGTTGTATGTCGCCGCTTTAGGCGTAATTGCTAGCTGTTTGTTTTCTTAGCTTTACTGATGTTTTTCTTTTTCTGCTTAAATTCCGCCGAATTACACTGTATTGCTTGATGTTCTACTTGATAGCTATTGTTGGGTTTGTGTTTTGGTTGATTACGTTGTACCGTGGTGAGATAAACGTGGGAGTGTCGCTTTGCGAAGACCCTGTCATGGTGGGTGGCAGGGTTCTCAAGGGGTTGATGCTGACTGGGGGAGCAATTTGCCCTAAATCGCGAGGAGGTGGGTGGGTTTGCAGGGTCCTTTGACCCTTGCCGCGCGGGTGGTAGGGCACTTCTGCAGGTTCCTTAATGTTTTGGGTTACGTTCATTTCCTTGTGTGCTTGGAGTTTTCTTCTATCATCCTTTTCTTGAGGGATTGGAGAGCGTTGCTCCGTACGATTTTCATCATGGAGGGAGGTGAAGATCTCATTGGGGAGTGCATGCGGACGGAGGTGCGGATTACCCTAAATCGCGAGGAAGTGGGTGGGCTTTGCGGGGCCTTTGGCCCCTGCCGCGTGGGAGGTAGGGCTTTTCGCAGGGTTTGTTGAAACACCATCATGGAGGGAGTTGGTGTTTTAGGGTAGGTAACGTAGGGGGTGAAGTGATCTGCTTTGAATCGCGAGGAGTTGGGTGGGTTTGCGGGGCCTGTGCTTACAGATCCCTGCCACGCGGGTGGCAAAGTGGATCTGCAGGGTTGGGCTATTTTCAAGGGTGATAGGCTATGTTTTTGTAGGTTCTGTTTTGTTTTTCTTTTTTTAGGGTAATTTGCATATGCACAATTAGGATTGCATAGTGCATATTTAGGATTTTGTCATTTTGTATGGTCAGAGGAAACTGTTTACCCGTGGCTTTCTCTATGATGTAAGGGATGGAAGACCCGTTTTTCGGCTTGTATAATTCAAAAGCAGTCGTCGTATGAACCAGGCCAGAGTGCATGGATCATACGACATCTGACTGCCTTTTGGGAAAAATAAAAAAAAAATAAAAAAAAAAAATGAGGCCCGGTGGCCAAGTCCCACTAGCAGTGTTGAGTTTCCTCAATAGAGCATAGAGAGTCGAAAAGACGCGCCGACTCGAAGCTCGACAAAGGCTGACGAACCCGGTGTAACCGACCATGACCAAAAGAAGAAAAAGAGGAAGAAGAGGAGAAAGAGAAAAGAGAATAGGAGATGAAGAGAGGGAGAAAAAACGAGGTGAAGAGATGAGGTATGAGAGACGCTGGTACAAGTGGATAGCGCAAAAAACAA